TAACAGCAGGCGGTGCTCTAGGCTATTTTTTAACAGCAAACGACACTAAATTTTTAACAGCAGATGGCACTTTAAGCTAGTTTTTAAACAGTAAACAATGCTATGGGCTTCTTTTTAACAGCAAATGTTATTCTAGGCTAGTTTTTAACAGCAGAGGGCAAGCTTCAGCTATACACTCTTGTGTGTTCTGCTGAGTTATTCAAGATTATTATAAACAGCTCATTATGAACAGTCTTGTAATTTACTTAAAACGTTCACAATTTAACTACTGATTTTTATAGGTTCATGTGGTATTTGCAAGGAATTGGATGCAAGCAGAGTATGGCTGTTTGTAAAGCATACAGCGCCATTTGCTCTTAAAAACTTAGCTCAGAATCAACTTAAAAGAGAATTGCAATGCATTTTGAAAATCTCAGAAATGAAGCAGAATTAACTTCTAGAAAGATTTTTCACCACAGCTTTACAGGTACAGAATGTCGGGATGGTCAGATATTTTGAATAAACTATATGAAAGTAGCATTAAAGTGATCCAATGAGTCCTTCATTAAGAACGAGACTTCATATTTATCCATCCAGGGTACAGTACAAAAGAAACCACTCAAGAATAAGTGGTTGAATTATCATTATCTAAATAATGACACAAAATATGAATATTGTTCTCCAATAATCGGACTCGCCTAAAGACCACTTGTTCTTGTAATTCCGGTAATTTCAGGTAATGAAACAACACTGGATACCAAAAAAATAAATAAAATGACTTTTAAGCCCTCAGGAGGCTAAGGGCTGTGGGTTTTATCCCAAAGCAGAAAAAAGGTCTGAGGTCTGCTATTGTTCCCGCAGTTACTGCTGGCACAGCAAAACAGCCCATAAATAGAATCACTATAAAATCAAAATGAAAGTCGCACTTGACTGGTTTCCTTTAGGCAAGAAGATGTCATTCATCAATCTGGGTGGCTGCCGGATAAAACAGGTACATCCTTTAGTGTGACAGCGATATTCAATATTGTCAAACCGTATCAAACCCCAGACCCCATTTGATGTCGTCTCTTGCTTTGGTCTGGCTTTTATATCAAAAGCTTTTTCACTGACACCAATAATCTGGGTTTGCCTTGATCACAACACCAGTCCTCTATTGTGCATCTGGACAAAGCGTACGGCACCTCAAATGGGTCTCTTTTAAACTCATTTAAATATTTGATTCCCGTGTAAAGAGTAAACAATAATCTGCAGTAATGCCTGCTTGAACAAGGAAAAAAAGTGGAATAAATTCTACAGAGGACTTTATTGACTAAGAGCAAAGTTCTTGGTTTTCCCCGTCATTTAGTAAGGAAGCAGGAGGTCATTTAGCAAATGCTTTTATCCAAAGTGACTTACAGTACATTTACTACAGGTAAAATCCCTCTTGTATAAGCAGAGGTTGAGTGCCCTGCTCAAGGACACTCGCTGAAAGCTCCTGGATTGCTCAAACATACAACTTTCTGCATGCCAGTTCTGATCTTTGGCCACTTCATCATATCAGCTGCTAATATTACAGACTGTTTTTGTCTTATGTACCCCACAGCTTTGTGAAAAAGGCTAAAACTATTCTTCTATGACATGTAAAAAAGAAATGCTTTCCTGCTAGCTCATCTAAAACACACTAGAGAACTTTTCTTTTTATCAATCACCCAAAATAATAAAAAAAATAAATAAATTGCACATTTTTGACTACTTTTTTGATAACAAGATCTGCAATAAGGTTCTTGACATTTATTAATCTTTGTTAAAATTAATGTTAGCTCGGTTCCAATAATACGTTGCCTTTGAGTTAAAGATTAATATTAAGATTAAATGCTTTGGTTAATGTGAGAAATATATTTCTAATTTATTCTTAAGTCTATTTTACAGAAACACAATACTTATTATTTGCTAAATTCTACTAACAATACAGCTAAGCGTTTACAATATTGAAAATTAGAGTTATTAATAGCCTAGTCCTTACAAACAATCTGTTTATAAAATACATCATTTATGAATAAAAAAATATAGCCTTTAATGAAAACTAAGCTCAAAGTCAACTCAAAAACACTAGGTGAGCTCTATTTCATGCATCTTCGAAAAAATTTGCATTAAATATTTTTTCTTTTGCATTAAATCTGGTGTAATGAGATCTGCAATAATGCTATTAGTATTTAATAATCCTTTAATTAATATTATTGTTAGCTCAGTTTTGATAATTAAATTAAGAAAAATCACAAGAATTTGTTTGTTAAAAAAATAATAGTAAGATGAAATGCTTTAGATATTTAAATCTTTTTTTATGGAAAAACTATGCTTTTCGTTTTAGAAATAATATAATATATCTAATATTAAATATAAGATAAAAATATTTTTAAAATAATTTAATGTTTACAAGGAAAAAACTAAAATAACCTATCTGAAATAAGTTTATTTTAATTAAAAAAAATATTATTATTATTATTATTATTGTGAATTATTTAAATAGTAATTAAAAACAATTAAATATATACACAATGATACACACAACAAGAAACAACAAAAAAATCTAAAAAAAAAAATGTTTACATGGAAAAAACGTAATTTATGAAAAAGCAATTAACTGAAATAAGTCACATTTAATAAATATAATTTTTTTAATTTAAATAATACTTTAAAGATTATTATGATTACAATTAAAATAATAATTTAAAATAATAAATAAAAAATGTTAAGATACATAGCGGCACACAAAAAATTGAAAATTACAAACTAAAGTCTAAATCCAATCAAATAAACTAAAAATAAAACAATTTATAATAAAACTGAAATTATTCTAATAAATGCTAACGAAAATATTAAGATATAATAATATGTTGATAATAGTTAAAATAACACTGATGTTCATTAAAGCAAATACTGTACAAGGTTCCATCTGGACATCCTTTTGGCCACTACTGTATATGAAAACCATATTAATTACGTAAGATGCGTCTGAAATTGCCTACTACTCAGTAGGTATTGCATTTAAATTTAACTACTTGGCCGTTAGAAAAATATGTTCTATATTCTATATAGTATGAATGTCAGTAGTACGAATGGAACTCGGACGTACTACATCCGGCATTTTGTCATCATCACGTGACCAACCTGCGTTAGTTGCGTCGCTTAACTCCCATTAATAAATTCTCTCGCGGTGCATCATGAGATAGTGTAGCATCCGTCCGATGTGCACTTCAGAATCTCGACGGTAGTAGTAAGTCAACCGGGTACTTCTCACTAGCAGTTTTTCGAATTCTATGAATTCGGACATACTACTCGACTAGGATATTCTTTTTTGCATAATATATAGTATAGAAGTATGCGATTTCGGACACAGCCATTGTTTAATAGACGTAACATAACTCATTTCAGTTTTAAATAGTAAAATAAAAAAAGAATATACAGTTTATTTATTTGATTATATAAAATTTGGTTAAATTATTATCTTGTGTTTTGTCCTGTCATTATTTTGCACAAGAATAGAAAACGTCTGTCACGAAAACAAATGTATCAAATACCATAATATGGATATGCTGATCTGGTACTGGGTAAAAATTATCTCCAACCATTAAATTAATATTGATTTACAATCCATTTATTGTCAGCAACACCTACTAAACAGAGTACTAAACAGAGTACACATACAGTATAATCAAATGTAAGTTAACCACATTAGCACTGTGTCATAACAAGACCCGCTACACTTAAATAGTAGCAGTGTATTGGATCACAAATTTCACGGTTTGGATCACATTAGTTTTTGAGTCCTGGATTGGACCATTTTTCAGATCAGCAAAAAAGAGAGGGGACAAATGTCAATTGCTTTCCATTTATACAAAAATATTACTGCCAAAATCATTGGTTTTAACAAACAGAACTTAAAAGCTTTAATTAAAAAAAAAATAAAAATCAAGAAAGAACCAGCTGGAAAAAAAAGATCTTTGCTACTGCTGCTGATATTGCTAAATATAGAAATCTTGTACAACATATTATATTTATTTTCAATAAATGATTCAACAATTCACACATAAAACTTCATGTTTCATTATAGGTGCATCATTTTTGAAAACCTATTCAGTGACATAATTTTGATGGTTGTTTGTCACCACCCGTTGGTTACACAATGTAATTGCTACAACATTCACCAGTGCCAAGTTCCGTTAAACAGTGATTTTAATCTTTACCTTAAACATAAGTGTTTATATCTGAACTATAAAGCCTTCTCCTTTTACTTCGGTGTCATTTAATTGTTTGTAACTAACTGAAAAAGTGAAAAAAAAAACTCCCTCAATCAAACGCAGATTTGAATGCAGCGATTCGGAAAATGAATAAACATGCAAATCATTATCATTTATCATTCATGTTGCACCAGTTTGAATTAAGATCACGATCTTTTAATTATTACTTGTGCAGCTTTACACTGAATGCATTGATGCAGGCTAAACAAACAGTAACAAAAAACACCTTTAATAACCTAAGAAAGCATTTCGGTAGGTCCCACAACAACTTTTTCCATCATCATTATATTTTACAGGGAAGCCAAAATGCTTTCATACACATGCTTTGAATGACGCAAGAGATGATCTCTCTGCAAGTGTTAAATGTTGGATTAACCTACTAGTTCAAAAAAAGTTATTAATCTGCGGGTCATGTGCATTCCGAACTGTGGGTTGTGATCCGTTACACCACTATTAAATAGTTACGTTAATATTAAAATTGAGATCCCAATTCCCCAAAAACCACTATCAGACACCCTAAAAAAGCCGTGTTGGAAGTAAGTGCCCTAAATGAATTAAAGGAATATACAGTATATTTATTAAATTACTCTATTATCTCTGTTTTGTCTGGTCATTCAACAAATTCCTTGTATGTGTAAACAAACCTGGCAATAAAGCTCTTTCTGAATCTGAATCTGAAAATAATCAGTAACATGACAGGACAGGCACCATACAGTTTTAAAAGAGAAGAGATTTTTTTTTTACCTGGCTCCAGTTTAATGACCTTGATAGCAGCCAGCTCTCCTGTAGTGACATTACGGGCCTGAAAAAGAACAACAACACACGTCTCAATGTTACTATGACTGAAAGACTTTACCAAAAAAATCATGAAATTAGCCTAAATTAGTCAATAAACAAAGATGTAGTGCTTCCATGTGGGTTTGCTGATTAGGTATTGGCTAAAAATTTGCTTCAACCCCTTAAATTAACATTGATTTACAATCGTTTTATCGTCAGCAACACCTACAACTAAACAAAGTACACATATAATCAAATGTAAGCTAACTACATTAGCACTGTGTCAATATGGACGCCGCATACTTATGCATTTTCCTGCCGTTCTGTAAAGAGCGTGTTTGCTGAGTAGAATGTTAATTTATCCGCAAGCCCTAGATATTTCACGATTCCAGAGAAAATTGCATCACCTTTAAGACCCAAATACAAACAACGACTGCTTTACTGATCAAGCAAAGTGGGAAGAATATGCTATCTTCAATTTCCACACCATTGGAAAGACTTTTTGGCAATAAAAAAGAAAAGTCTTTCAGTAGGTCGTGATATTATTCAATCACGATGTGGCAGCAGGAAAACCATTAGACTAAATTAGCCCGGATTCGATTAGGATGTCGTCTGTAAAGCATTTCTTTTTCTCTCTCTTAGCAACAGGGTGATTTCTGACAACAACAACTATACATTTGAAGAAGAGCACTTCTAGACAAATCTGTGTGAAAAACACTGATGAAATGTCTTATAAAAGGGTCTGAATTCTCATTGACAGTTTGTTGTGGCTGGAGGGAGACGAAGCTTTTAAATCATTAAAAATAAACATCCAAAAGGGAATAATTATGAAATAATTTGTGGTTTTTGCAGATTCTTGTCATTTGGCTTTATTTGAACGGCTTTCATTGCGATACACTTTTGGAAACCTCTTTAAAATTAAGGATTTTTTAATATATATTTGAGATTCTAGTAGTAATATAGTTTTCATTAATATTTTGTTGATTTATAAACTAGTTTAGTTAATTAGTTTAATTTAGTCATTTTAAAATGACCATTTTCAAAACAATATTAGACATTTGGTTGTTTTTTATGTTGGTTCTGCAAATTCTTTTATCAATAAATATTGTATTATATTTCTGTGTTGGTTAAAAGTTACACTACCGGTTAAAAGTTTGGAATCAGTATTTTTTCATGTTTGTTTTTTAAGGAAAATTATTCTGTTCATTAAGGCGGCATTTATTAAATGTAAAAAAGAAAATTGCTAAATTGTTAAATATATACACTACTACAACTTTAAATAACTGCATTCTTATTGTATGTTGTTTAAAATAAAATTATAACTCCAGACAATTAATAATAATAATAACAACAATATTAAAAACAACAACTAAAACAATAATAATAATATTAATAATAGTAATTAATATATGAGTCATTTCTGAAGGATCATGTGACTGAAGTCTGGAGTAATGAAGCTGAAAATTCTTCCGTAAAATCACTGAAATAAATGATTAAATTAATTTATAAACTACTTTTGATTAGTTATTTTATAGTGTAATAACATTTTACAATTGTGCTATTTGTACTGCATTTTTGATTAAACAAATTCAGCCTTGGTTAGCAGGATAAGCTTATTTTAAAACATTTAAAAAAACACTGGTACAAAATTTCAGTGAATGAATGAATTGTTTTTTTTTTTTTTTTAACTGTATGTTGCTTTAGCAATCAAGTTAGTGTTTTTTTATCTTTTTATTATGGTATTCAATAAAGAAACCCAAGTTATTGCAATATTCTATGGTTTTAGTTACATTACAAAGAGCAAAAAAAAAAAAGAGTAAAGAAAAGTAAAGATAAAAGGAACACGCATGAAAAAACTGAGCAAATAAGTAGAATAGTGTTTAAAATTTGCTGTGCATTACATATGATTAGATTATGTATGAACATGAATTTTTCACATACTTTTTTATTTTAAGGGAACTAAAATAACTTGATAAGTTCATTAAGAAAACTATCTCAAAATCAATGTCCATTTAATGCCAACATTTTTTTTATTTCAGAGGGATGATTTAGAATAAGATTTATCAAAATATGTTCTCATGGCATAAATTAAAGAGACGCAGCATTTTTAAAGGATGCGTTATGCATTTGGTATGTCAAATGTAAAACTGGGACAGTTGCAATGTTCAAAGATGTCCATCTAAGAACGTTTATATTGAAAAAATTTAAAACAATGTGTGCATTTTAGTAAGTCCAACTTAAAATAAAAACTTAAAATAAAAAAAATATATATATAAAATAGAATAGAATATATATATATATATATATATATATATATATATATATATATATATATATATATATATATATATATATATATATATATATATATATATATATATATTCTACACACTTCAAAAAACTATTTTGCTGCTTGATCAAACTATTTATGTAAAATGAGCTGAAACAACACAACACTTGAGATTGTGTTGGGACAACTTAATTGTTTATGTTCAATCCACTTAAAATGGGTTATATGAACGAATTGTGTGGAACCCAGCCTTTACTATTTTAAGTGGATTGAAGATAAAACAATTAAGTTGTCTCAAAAATCTTTAAAAATGTGTAGTTTCAACTTATTTTAAAACAGTACTTCGAACAAGCAGTAAAACTTTTTTTATGTGGTTGAGCTGTTTAAACAAAAGAGCACAACTTAGTGTAATGCATATTTAGAAACACGTTTCGGTCAGCCTAATTATGCAAGGCTACCTAGGATGGATTAGTCACTAATTGTTCTCGACGTCGTTTTGCACATCGATCAACATAATTTATCATATAGACCGACTCTCTCTTTTTAATTAAATGCACTTATATTATCTGAACTAGACTGCTGAATTCAACAAACGGAAAGAGTGAAGAATTCTAATGCGTGATTAATAATCAGTCATTTCAAAGAGATTTAGCTTATCGAAAACAACTCAGGGAAAAAAAACATCAGCGGCTGAGTGATATGATCTGAAAAGGATGCTGCAAAACATAGAGACGTCCTGGGTAACTAATGCGAAGATGTCAAGAGCGATACAGCTTTGCGGGATCGTGCGAGAATTCACTCTGAGGTGCATGTCAGAAATGTTAAAACACAACTGAAAGCTCCCCTCCAGAAGGCTGATGATTTCTGTGCCGTATATTCAAATTCCTGTTGCGAAAGGCTTTGAAGGAAGCCCACATGCTGAATCCTTTCAGCTCAAAGATATGAGGCGCTGAAATCGAACCCAGACTGTAAACACACCGAGCGGATAGCGTGTCACATTGATATTTACGAGATGCATGAAATTTTGGGTCATCAGTGCAAAATAATACAGCAAACTATTAAAGAATTTTTTTATGCAGACATAAACGACTTAAGCTTTCAGACAAAACAAAACACAAAACACTCTTATATGCAGTTACACTAAATGGGAGACATTTAGGAAGACATTTTAGTGCTGATTTCAGTCACAATCAATGACTCCTCTTAAGTAGAGTAGAAACACAAAAAGGTGTGGAAACTGATGGAAAAATATTAATTTTAGGTTTTAATATTGTACAAAATTGTTTAATTTTTAGGGATACACCGAAACTGATACCAGTATCGGGTCAATACTTGGTTAAAACACTCGAACTCATATTGTACATGAAATGCTAATACCACTCAACAGTATTTTACTAAGTGGATGTGACTTGTTGTCCTACTGGTCATTAAAATGGCTTTAATTAATCCAAATAATAATCAATCTGGTTCAAAAGAAAAGCATAATTTCTTTCCAGGATTTTCTGCTTCTGTCTTCATGTTGAAAGGATGCAGATTAGTGCTGATCAATAACTTCATCAAGCATCCAGGCCAAGCGGTCAATACCTCGCCTTGCGATCAGGCAAATCATATTGTCTGATGTGGTTTAAAATGATGTGTTAATGATCCCTTATAATGAGCCCACCACTGGTCCAGGAAAGGTGAAAGCTAAGGATCGTGGGAAACAATCAACAAATGAATGACCGGATCTTATAACTGTGAAAATGTCAGATATATAAAAAACATATATATAATAATAATAATAATAATAATAACAATAAATTGTAACTCATCCTGCTCGCTTTGACTTTTAGACCTTTAATGCTTTCAGAAAGGTTTAGAATTGCAATAATGGGCTGATGTACAATGCTTCGGTTTAAAGAAATATTCTTGGTTTAGTCAGTTTGAGCTCAATCAATACTTATGGCACAATACGGATAAAACAACAAAAAATTTGACAACTCTGCTTCAACAAAATATGGACTACAGAGTTGCACTTATAATATTAGTAAGTGAAGCTGATTTGTAAACATGAAATACTCAGTTTCAAGAGAATAGACAATATAGACAGTATAGCTTTGTTAATAGAACTACATTATTAGTGAAACTTTCTTAATCTATTTCTTTATTGATTGATTGCAATGTTTCTGATTAAAAATTGATATTTAAATATTATGTACATTGCTCAGCATACTGTAACTGAGTATACCCCATTTTGAAAATGAATATTTTGATCCATTTCTTAGTGAATATAGTCAATGTATTTTGTCCATTTAAACAAAACAGATTTATTAAACAGATATACTTATTAAAATAACATTTAAGTCATCAAAAATATTTAGAAATTGAAAGATACAATTAAATTCAAGCAAAATGTAGCAAAAAAATACAAACTACAAAATTTCAACTGAATTCTTAATTAATTTATTTATTTATTTATTTATTTTATTTATATATTTTTTTTTTTGCTTTTCTTGATTTTTCCTCTTTTTTTAAATTTGTATTTAATATTTTTCTATAACCTATAAATTTGGGTGTACGAGTTTTTGAACTGTTATCGTATGTTATTTTGTTAGATAAGCTCCAGATTTGGCATTAGTAATGACTAATCTAATGTATATGCACAAATATAATATTGTATAGCTTCCTATTAAAAATATGAATTTAAAAGATTTTTAAGGGATGTACTAATATATGATGAGCACTTTTATTTTATA